CAGCTGCGATCGCACACTATTCCCAGAAGCACGAAGCTGAAGACACCAGCCTGAAGATGACGAATGTGACTTCGTCGAAACGTCGCCAGGACACTTCCAATTTTACGCGGGAGAGAACCCGAATGACCAAAGACCTACATACAAACACCCGCGAAAACCTCAGAAAACATATATATATATATATATATATATATATATACACACGCACACACACACACACATACATACATACATATATAGAAAGAAAGAGTTAAAGAATGCATGTTAAAATGGGCTAAGAATTTTCATTATAATATACAGATGGACCAATCAGAAAAAATATGGTTAAAAGGACTAAAGTTAACATTGTGTTATAATTTAAGAAAGAGCTTCTATAACATGATGTACCGCTGGTATATGTCACCATTGGTATTATCTAGGACAGTGGTGGCGAACCTATGGCACGGGTGCCAGAGGCGGCACTCAGAGCCCTCTTTGTGGGCACGTGCGCCGTCGCCCCAGTCCTAGGCCTTCAGCTGGGTTTTATAAAACCTTTTCGCTTTAGGCCTCGACTTTGTGCAAAAAAAAAAAAAAGGTTCAATCAATCAGTCAATTTCAACTTCTCGTGGGAAAAAAAAAGATCTCGCAAAGTTGGAATTGATTGATTGAACTTTTTAGTCCCACCCAGTCTGCCATTACCACCACAGCCGTGCCCACCCAATGGGCCACACCCATCCAATGGGCCACACCCACCCAATTGGCCACACCCAGCCAATGGGCCACACCCACCTGGCACCCGGCGATACATAAGTGGGTTTTGGGTTGCAGTTTGGGCACTCGGTCTCTAAAAGGTTTGCCATCACTGATCTAGGAGGTACAAAGGTACTTTTAATAGATGTTGGAAATGTGAAAAGCATGAGGGGACATTTTACTACGCATGGTGTACTTGTGAAAAAGCAAAAAAATGGATACAAATACATATGATGATACAAAGAATTTTAAAAATTAATATTCAGATGAAACCAGAGCTTTCTTTTATTGGGACTTATGGACAGCCAAGTAGAAAAGTCTTATGGAAGATTAGTTTGTTATATAGTAACTGCAGCGAAGTTCCTATATGCAGAAAGATGGAAAAATAATGAAATACAAACAATGGAGGAGAGGATTGTGAAGATGGCGAAATTTGCAGCAATGGCAAAATTTATCTCTTTGATCAGGGAAAAAACAAGTACTTTTATAAAAGACTGGAAACCCTTTATTGACCTTTTGATTAAAATGGAAAAAAGTGAATTAGTGATTTTGGGATTTGTGATTAAAAAGAATTGAATATGGGAAGAAGGGAATTATGTAATGTAAACTTAAAGAGGGAGGAGAGACAGTAAGTTTCTAACTGGTATAAAGAAGATCTGACGTTGCTTATCTTTTTCTTTTTTGTTTATATTGCTTCTTGCAGTTTTTCTTTAATCTTTCTCCTTTTTCTAATCTCTTTTTTGTTTTTTGTTCATGTTAATCTTTTATTTAATAAACATTTTATTTTACATACATACACACACACACACACACACATATATATATAAATATATATATATATATATGAATATCGATAACAAGCAAACCAAAAATCAAAATTTCTGTTCTATGACTAATATACACAACTATGTTTAAATCATAGTCCTTTGAAAGAGTAGTTAAATTAAAACTGAAAAATAACATTCCATCCAATATCATCAAATTAAAATACTCACCTATATAGACCCTCCTGCTGTATCTCTGCATTAACAATAATACAAATACATGCAGAGGAATAAGGTTGATGATGAAAACATAACCACCCCATGCAGAAACCTGTGAAAAATTAATACAGTATGCTTTAAAATTGAGTATGTTTACAATGTTATCCTGATGAACATGAGTCACTGAAAACTGACTATTCAAGTTATATATGGTGAAAAGACACTTTGAGCCACAAGAAAAACTTGTACAGTGAGGGAAAAAATTATTTGATCCCCTGCTGATTTTGTACGTTTGCCCACTGACAAAGAAATGATCAGTCTATAATTTTAATGGTAGGTTTATTTTAAAAGTGAGAGAACAACAAAAAAATCCAGAAAAACACATTTCAAAAAAGTTATAAATTGATTTGCAGTTTAATGAGTGAAGTAAGTATTTGACCCCTTCACAAAACATTACTTAGTACATGGTGGCAAAACCCTTGTTGGCAATCACAGAGGTCAGACGTTTCTTGTAGCTGGCCACCAGGTTTCCACACATCTCAGGAGGGATTTTGTCCCACTCCTCTTTGCAGATCCTCTCCAAGTCATTAAGGTTTCGAGGCTGACGTTTGGCAGCTCGAACCTTCAGCTCCCTCCACAGATTTTCTATGAGATTAAGGTCTGGAGACTGGCTAGGCCACTCCAGGACCTTAATGTGCTTCTTGAGCCACTCCTTTGTTGCCTTGGCCATGTGTTTTGGTTCATTGCCATGCAATGGTTCATTCAGATGTTCATTGGCAAACTTCAGACGGGCCTGTACATGTGCTTTCTTGAGCAGGGGGGCCCTGCCGGCGCTGCAGGATTTCAGTCCTTCACGGCATAGTGTGTTAGCCCATTCCAGCCTTGTGTAGGTCTACAATCTTGTCCCTGACATCCTTGGACAACTCTTTGGTCTTAGCCATGGTGGAGAGTTTGGAATCTGATTCATTGCTTCTGTGGACAGGTGTCTTTTATACACGTAACAAGCTGAGATTAGGAGCACTCCCTTTAAGAGAGTGCTCCTAATCTCAGCTCATTACCTATATAAAAGACACCTGGGAGCCAGAACTCTGGCTCATTGATAGGGGATCAAATACTTATTTCACTCATTAAAATGCAAATCAATTTATAACTTTTTTGAAATGCGTTTTTCTGGATTTTTTTGTTGCTATTCTGTCTCTCACAGTTAAAATAAGCCTACCATTAAAATTAGAGACTGATCATTTCTTTGTCAGTGGGCAAATGTACAAAATCAGCAAGGGATCAAATAATTTTTTCCCTCACTGTAAATCGGAAGTACTTCAGGCAGATAATTAAGTAACAATTAACATAAATAATTTCTTATTTCAAATACTTCAGGTAGAATAGTTTAACAGCAGCATGAATAGCAATTGCTGTGGTAAGCTGCTTTACATAATTGCAAAGTTTGTAGGGTTACAATTGGTCTTCACTGAAGAAACATTTTTTGTTTTTACACTGTATGTCAATAGTGTATGTTGCAATATTTCTATAATATAGAACAGTATCACTTTAATAGTGCTTTATGAAGCAACACAAGGGAAAAGAACTGAAACCTATCTCCTTTAAACGATTCAAATGAAATGTAACTAAGAAATCAAGGGTCTAGGATCTTTCACCGCCCACCCTTGGCCCCGCCTCCTTCTCCTTGAGCCTCCCACCTCCGCCCATTCACAGGGAGCTTTCCTCCTCTGCTGGACCTCCCCCAGCCATTCTCCACAGCCAATGGGCCCCTTGCCCTCCGCCCTTTGCCCCGGCCAATTCACTGAGGCCACCTTTGTCCCGGGCCTTTGGCTGCACGGGCCGCCAGCCAATCAGGTGGCAGGCAGAAGCCATGGTGCTGTGGGTGCAGCGTGTGATTGCTGATAGGTTGATTGCAGGGGCTGGGGGGTGGCTTCTGGCATTCAAGGGGGGCGGGGGGGCGTATCGGGGTGCTAGGTGGTTATTCCCCAAAGATTCCCTGCGGCCGTCATAAATACAAGTCAGATGCCACACGTCTGAAATTTATTTTTTTATAAAGTTTTATTTTTTAACAGAATTCATTAATAATTATTTAACTAAAACATGTTGTCTGAGTATCTTATTCACTAATACAAATTAAATTCCTAATCCCTAAATCTTTTCTCTAACCATTGATAAAATAGGTCCCAAGTTTGAAAATATTCTGTTTCTTCTTTTTCTTTCAGCCTTAAAGTAAGTCTGTCCATTTCTGCACAGTCTAATATTTTTTTTATTATTCCTTCTTCTGGTGGCATTTCTTTGTTCTTCCAATATTGTGCAAATATAATTCTTGCCGCTGTTATCACATGTAGAATCAAATATGTACTTTGCTTATCAAGTTTTTCTGGCATTATACCTAGTAAAAAAAGTTCAGGTTTATAGTCTATGTGTTTCTCTAACATTTTTTCTAACCAAGTATATCTCCTTGCTTTAACACATGTCCACCACATATGATAATAAGTGTCGTGATTCCGTGCCAGCCTGTGTTCCCAACAGCTGAGTCCGGGGAATCTGAGGAGGAGGTGGAGGAGGCATTTGGAGGGCCATCAGGGTCAGAGGGAGGCTCTGATGAATTACAAGACTCACGGTCTGATGAAGAGACTGGCCCCTCCAGTCGTGTTACGGATGAAGCTCAGCTGTGTGGGGAGAGTGAGTCGGATTTGGAGGATTCACAGCTGATGGACATGATTGATGCTCGTAGATGCAGGCAATTATCTAGAGCAGATCAGCAGCAGTCAGTACGACAACTCCAGGGGAGGAGGAGAAGGCATTGAGAAGCCACGCCTTGGGACTGCTTTATAAAAAGGGAAGGTGTGGGTGGTGCTGGTTGCTGAAGGCAACCGTTTGTAAAGAACTTCCAAGGATCATGGTCTGTTTTGTTTTATCAGTGAATTTCTTGTTTAAACTTCTGCTCTGTTTGCTTTTGTAACCAATTATCTGTTAGGAAAGTATTCTGTGTTTTTTGTTTTGGAGAAAAACTTATCAGGACTGTTTTGGAAATAAAAAGAGGTTGGTTTTCCCAGCCTACTGTTTAAGAGGGGTTTGTTCTTGTGACGTAACAAGGACGGACGTAGGCTGGGACAGAACA